GTTGAAAACTTTAAAAGGCTGTATCACTTTTCAAATCGCTACCACCAATACTATCGCCCTGTATTATAGTTGAAGAAATTAAATAATGAAGCATCTACATAAATGTATGTATGTTTCTCGCATGGTGATAAAACAACGGTACCTAGAGCCATCCAATTTCGAAAGACGTAATCCTACTGCGAATATGGGCATCTGAAAGCCCAAATTTGAAATTTGGAATTTGTTTTATTATCGATTTCATATTTTGTAAAACTTTACCGAATTTGTGATTAACAAACTCAACGATTTAAAACCGAGCAATGGCAACACTCTACGGGGGGAAATAAAACCTTTCTATTTCCAGCGTGCGGAACTGTGTATCGGAAATTCTAAAGATGTGCTCATTTTAAAATTATGTTGCAACATTGCTCTTGAACTGAATGCTATGGTTTAAGTGCAGAAAACATGATATTTAATAAATAAAGGTAATACACAAAACGTTAAAAAAGAAAAAAAAAAAAAAAAAAAGACGCTCCTTTGAACATAATTTAAAATCTGAATCCTTTCAGATTTTTTTGTACTTACTTTTTTTGACTTACTAATCAAACCCTGACCTGTCTAATAATCGTGGAGTATACTTCCAAATACACCACAAAGGCATGCGGAAAGGAGGGAGAAAATACCTTATATACCTTCCCTTTTAAAAGGCGACTGGGGGTAAGGGGACTGAATCGCCAAATACTGGTGGTGACAAATTATTGTCTGTCACCTTTTAGTTCAGGCGCCACTAGTCTTAATAGTTTAAAAAAAAAAAAAAAACAGGAGACGGGGAAAAGTGTGCAGTGCTCTCCGCGGTACTTGAACCCAGGATCTCTCGAATACGCGTCGATTATGTTTCCAGTTACACTACGAAGGCCTGCGGAAAGCAGGGAGAAAATACCTTATAAATTAACAGGGATAAACAGCAGGGTCTTTTCCAAGATGACGGTATTTAATGAAATAAGTTTTCGTGGTCTAACATAAGTGTTAATCTAATGCTCAAATTCACTGCTTACTTAAAATAAGTAAACTTAGAACATAGTATAACTATCATCGCCATCCTGATATTTATGCATTTCCTAACATTTCTACCATACTAACCTACAGAAGTAAGATCCTAAGATGCCTCTGCCTGTAGTTAGATTAATGAGCTTTAACGCAACTAAAGGGTGCTTTTCACGCCCTTCATCATTATATTCGAGTGTATTCAATATTTTTTACAAACTCTGTTAAAATAGCTCAGAGCTTATTTTGATGCAAAGGAACATTTCTCACATTTGAAGGACATCATTGCTGATGGGCATGGTTTGGTTCTGTATTTGTATGATAAGGATCTTCTAATGAATATGTGGTATAGGATTCCATATGTTAGTGTCGTCTATGGCATAGTCGTCTATGACATACATAGTTATACAATGTGTTCAGTGACGTTACGAAAACTTATTAGCATACGCAGTCAATAGTAGTAGTTAAATTTGTGTATTTGTCAAAATAATCTACGATAATGGGAGAGCAGGAACATCTAATAGCTTACGATTTTTATCAGTGATAGCCAACTCGTAGTCCTCTGGCCGCATACAAAATGCAAGGTTTTTTTTATTGAGGGCAGCGGTGAGGCGAACAATTATTATAAACCAAATTTCACATTTGTAATCAATTTTGAAACTTTAGGAAAAGATTAACAGTATCATTTATTAATTTTTGAAGAATTTAAGAACTTTATCATCTAACAATCTAAGAACTAAGTACTTCACGTAAGCGCTCATAGTATTCTATGAACTTATTTAGATTTTCAGCTTTACGATTTAGTGGTATAAATATTTTCATGTTAACTACATTTTAAAAGCTATTTTGAATCTTTTTACGTGATTTTACAGAGGAAATAAGTATAATTTTACCTGCAAGACTGTTTACAAAGATTATATGACACTGATTCCATGTGAAGCCTTGAAATAAATAATGGCTTATTATTCCAGGAGATATTTCCCAGTATTTATGCGAGAATACACAATATACAATTTAAGTTGGCTCTGTAGTGTGTTGGCCTGCAGTGTTATTTCTGCTTAAGAATAATGACTTGTACTAAATATAAAGCCATTGTAATTAATAAGCAATGACCGAATATTTAATTATTATATAATATTTTGCTAATTTTTCACTCTTCTTGATTTTACATATTTGAACAAAAGTCAGTTTGTCACTCTTAATCTATATATATGAAAGTGAATGGTTGTTTGTCTTTTATGTAAATCTACAGTTTAATTCCGATCTTTATGAAACTTCCCTCACTCGACCTTCAAAATAAGAGGAAGGCCACTGTCTACGTAAATTTTCTCATAAATTAGCCTTTTTATATACATATATTTTACGCTAATTTAATGAACTTTTGATTGAAAATTCAGCGATTTAAAAGCTTTTGCGTCGCCACTCTGCAAAGCGTAAGATGTTTCAAATTTAATCAGTAAACTTGGCGATATAAAAAAAAATGTGTTGCCACTCGGGAAAACGTAATGGTATTAATTTGTCCCATATTTAATAAGCAAACTCTACTATTTAAGAGAATGTGTTACCGCTGCTCAAATTAAAATATTTTAAAGTATGTTATCGTTTAGCAAAGCGCAAATTTAATTTTTCACACATTATCTTGCGTGTTATTGCACACGGATTTTCTTTTCTTTTTGAAAGTAAATTTGTAATAGTCGTCACAAAGCATTATTTTCTCTATGAAATCAATTATGATACCGAAACGAAAATCGATTGCTCAATCTACACCTCAAGCGCGAAAGAAAAAGGCATCACGAGCTTTAGAAACAACTAACAACGGGAAGCAAGACTGGGAAACATTCAAGTAAGCACTGCTCAAGGCCGTTTGTCTGAGACAGGCAAGCTACTGGAAACAAGGCTACAAACATTCGAGTACGCACTGCTCAAGCCCGTTCGTCTGAAACAGGCGAGCAATGGGAGTCAAGACTGGAAAACATTCGAGTACTCACTGCTCAAGCCTGTCATTCGAAGCAAGAGAGCAAGGAGAAGCATGACTGGAAAGCGTTCTATTACGTACTGCTCGATCCAGACGAACACTGCACGCTGATTTAAATCTTAGTGCATTCCATCATGATGCGTATTATGATTACAGTCTTTTCATCCAAGTGTGGTCGCTGGAAAGATGAATAAATTATACTTATATTGCAGAACTCACAAATTTAAGATTGAAACACCAGGAATGTGTTGCGCGGGTGGAAAAGTGAAACTTTTCGTACCAAATAGAAAATAAAAAAGTATCGTTTATCCAAAAGCACTTCAATGAACAGAATTAAAACACAAACGCTTTCTTTCCTTTACGTAGCATTGCAACGCATGCCGGCTAACAGCCACGTATACCAATGATTCCGACAGACATGCCATTCGAATTTAAACGTTTGATGTTTCCGAATTTTGAATGACCATCAACAAAGCACAGGGACAATCGCTACAAAAGTGTGGACTAAATTTGAAAAATCCGGTCTTTTCACATGGGCACTGGGCAATGTATGTGGCCAGCTTACGTGTTGGAAAACCTTTCGATTCATTCGTGTACGCACCAGATGGAAAAAAAAAAAAAATAGTCTGTATGCAAAAAGCACTTCAGTAAACAGAATTAAAACACAAACACTTTCTTTCCTTTAAGAGCACTGCAACGCAAGAGGGGTAACAGCTAGTGTTTTTATATATCCAAACAATCGGTTTCCCTTCTCCAATAAATTGATCAATTTTTTTATTTTTAAGTGGATAAGTTGTTGCCAGTATAATTAAGCATACCTGCCTTTGTTAAATTGGCTAATACTATCAAAAGAATACATTAATTTATTTGATAGAAAAGTAATGTGAAATATCGTAATAATATCAAGAAGGAAAAAAACTTTTGTAGACATTAGTTTTATATACAGACAATGGCAATCTGAATTTCAATATTCTGTTGAAATTCAAGCTATGTGTGCCTTTATTTTGAATGAATGATGATTACTGCATGTAGAAAAATAACTGTGCATCTCTTCATCAAATGAAACATATTCTGCGTAACTGCATTACTTTAATATCTATTATTTAATTATTAGACACACATGGCGGATTACAGCGCAACAAAAACGTCGCGGACAAAAACGTCGTGGAGAAAACCACGCAAGGCGAAAACGTAGTGATACAAAACATCGTGGGAGAAAATAAAGTAAAGAGAAAACATCGCAGTTCTAAAATATCATCGTCGAAAATAAAGCGATTCAAAAAACTTCGCAGTTTAAAAACATCGTCGTCGAAAATATCGTGGTAAAAGAATAAAGTACCTGCAAATACCTGCAAGTACCTGAGCTTTGTTAGTTAACTATGTCAGTTTGAAATTCTATTAAATGCTATAAATTGCATTACTTTTCTGTACTTAAGTTTCCATTTTACATTTTCAGAAAATATTTATTAGCTAATAAAAAACATGGAAGCAAAAATTATCCTTCTTTACATCTTGCTCGCACAAACTATTATGCAAGTTTTTACAACATTAAACAATTATTAAATTTTGCAGCAATTAAAGCCTGAAAAACGCATGTCTGCGATCTTATTGTTATGCGATGATTTGTAGGTACTTTACTTTTTACCACGATATTTTCGTCGACGATGTTTTTAAATTGCGAAAATTTTTGATCCGCTTTATTTTTGCCGATGATATTTTGTGCCACAATGTTTTAGAACTGCGACGTTTTCCCTTTGCTTTATTTTCTCCCACGATATTTTGCACCACGACGTTTTCGCCTTGCGTTGTTTTCGTCCGCGATATTTTTGCTGCCCGACACTTTTCTCAATAAAATTACAAATAGTCTTCATATTTTTCTAAAAGGGGTTTTATGTTATGGGAATATGTACTATATGAAATACTTGAAAATCGAATATGTTAGTGTATGAGTTCCTCTTAAGTGCTTTTTTAATCAATTTTATTTTGCTTATTTCCTTTTCAGCCCCAAAGTGATAGTCTGTCCTTAAAAGCTAATCGAAACTTCAAGCCAGGGAAATATTCGGTAAGTTTAACGTTACAGTATCTCAAATCGTAAAATTTCTCTGTAATAAGAATTCTTTTACTGATAGGTAGAAATAAAAATAAAGATGTACTTTCCTTTTATTTCGAGTGCATAAATAAGAAATGAAATTGTTCGCTTAAATTCGCTCTTTATTGCTTATTGGACTATAAATGCAAAAGAATCTCCTCGCAAGTTACATTAAGACATTAAAATCCTTTTTAAATCAAAAATACTCTGAATTTTTTTTAAACAAAGGTAGAATGAATTTATATCCCATAAAAGCATGAATGCTATTTCATCTCCATGTCTAAAGACAAGCAGAATTTTATATTTATGCATTTTATTTATATCGTATGTTTTTATTTATTTATTTATTTATTTTGATTTGTTTAATTAATAAGATTTTATTTGTTTGTGTTTAATATTTATTTTATTTTCTTTGAATATTGTCAAACTCGAATCGCATCAGTGTTGAGAAATAAAACCGAAAACATTTTCCATAGAATAAAATTATTCGGCGCGAGCATATCGTTTCTCATAAAAAGAAAACTTTTCTACTGCGATTCCAGGATTATAAAATAAGACATTCTGGAAAGTTTCTGAATTACGTATTCTGTGAATTACGATCTCTTGGATATTTTTAGTACATGGTGCTTTAAATTTTCCGTATTAATGGACCCAGGGAAGTAATGTCGTGTAGTATAGTTTCTCAATCTTTTTTGTTTCACTGCTTCCTTTTCGAGACTTACTTTGCTCAGCACCTATGATACATTAAATGTCTTTTGAATATAATCTGTAGGTATTGACTGAAAATGCACAAACAAATTAGGTATTTAATGCATTTTCGCTCTACAATTTATTAATGAAATATGGTCACACATTGCAGAAACAGAATGATAACGATTAAAGGTTTCCCATATAATTTATAATAACGAACGCCAAAGATTCCCATAGTAGCATGCACTTAGGTATATGCGAGGTATAATTTTCAAGAAATTACCGTTTTGGTATTACTTAAAAAAAGGAGAATATGTTTAACAACTTTATTTTTACATAAAATCCTAGGCCTTAATCTATGTTTTAATACAATTTCCACCTGTAATAAGGTATGTATTTTTTCGTACGATCAGCTTCTAAATTCCAACTTTTTTTTTTCTTTGATAGTTCGGAAAAAATATTTAATCAGTAAATAAAGATTTTTTTTAATTGTAAATATATTTGTTCTTGCGTTGAATGTATGGAATCACAGTTGGTAGTTTCATCAGCATTTTCTGTACTGTGTAAAATTGTTGAAAATCGTCTGCTTATATTTAATTAGTTTTTGGCATTCTTGCTTCATTTCCAGTATTTTCTAATTATTGAAGTCAATATTCTTAAATTATGTTACCTATAATTTTGTATCATGGGAAGTGTAAATTTTAAGTACACGCCAACTCTGTGATGTTAAAAGCATTTTGTTTTCTGCTGTGGTAAACTTATTGATAAACTGCTCATTCATTAAAATTTTAATTTTTTAGCTCAACAATAGTAACACGTGGAATTTTATAAGCACTGCCGCACGGCCATTTAGAAATTTATAAGTTAAACGTTTTGTAACAATTTCATGCAGAACATTTCTTGAAACTTGATAAAAAGCTCGGGAAAACAGATACTTAACAGATACTTACTACGAAGTTTCATGAACTTTTCTGCAGGTCATCATTAATGACAGTCGCAAGCTTCATCCCAGATCACGCATGTTTTAACTGCCATGTTTAAAATGTCCTAATCCATTATTTTACTATCCCATCGCCCATACCGTTGTACCCAGACATTTCGAAAATCTGCCGATAAATTTTGGCTGTTGAAAATGTAAAAAAAAAAAAAAAAAAAAAGAGAGAGAGAGAGAGACTTGCAAACTGCGGAATTTTCAATTGTGTGAAACATTTTAAACGAGCATAAACAACTGCAATCTTAAATGAATGTTTCAGCAGTAGCGTGTGTGGCAAGCTAGCAGATACACATATTCAGTGCGCATGTGTGAAGCGGCAAGTGCGGAGCTGCTTTTTAATTTTAACAGCAAATACGTAATCAATAAAATAATTGTGCTTAATATAATATTAATAAAGTAATTATGCTTTCAGACGACTAATAATTTGTAATTTCTGATCTCTTTTAACAGAAAAGAGAAACTACATGGAATTTGGAATAACTTGGATAAAGGATCGCGTGATATGATTTGGCGTGATTCTTGTAAAGATATGTAGCTGTAATATTATCAAATGAAGGTTCAAATATTTGTTTTAAAAGGGTTTAAGCAACAAAATTTTCCTAGATTATTTTTATTTCCCATCTTACTTTTCAATGTCCATTTACTGCATCTGAGACTAGTAAAGCTCTTTGGCTGGATTTCTTCAGCGCCTAACCGGTAGTCGACAACGACCACTTTGAGAACGCATGATTCAGAACTTCGCCTTTTGCTTTAAAATTTCCAATGAGCGTGGTATTATTTTGGACTACGTCGTATCATTTTTATTTTTACAAGTTTTTTATTCAGCTTTTATTTATTTTTTATGAAATATCAAAGATTACTTATATACACTGCTGGATGTGTGCTAAAGCTAGACAGCACTATCTCCCACTACAACCACAAAATTAAAGGCGGCAATAAGTGCAAGATACAAGTAAGAAGAGGTGTGCGGATGGAAATTTTCATTTCTTTGAATGTTTCTCACTTGGAGCGCTAATAAAAATTTAAATTATTTGACGCGTGTGGACAATTGTTATACCAAGCGAAAGTTTTATAATGATTTAATTGGTGATCTTGAAATTTTCAATATAGCTTTCCAATATCACTTAGCTGATTTACTCGTGGCCGTATCATTGGAAAGATCGAAGAAGGACGAAAAATAACAGTTGTTTCCAGGGAGTTCAGCATCTTCCACAGCGTTGTTTTATGGCTGTGGAGAGCATGTAAAGCAACAAAATGCGTGGTCAGCATCGTAGGAAAGGTCATTTTAGATGTTCGACGCCTGCAGCAAACACATACATTTCTCTATCGGCAAAAAGAAGCCGGCGTATTACAGCTCATTAGGTGGTGAATGAGTTTCTTGCTGCCAACAGACCTCTTTGTGTGTTCTATTGTCCAAACAGCACCATACTGCCCGTTTGCAATGGTGTCGCGAGCATCACAGTCGGAATGAACAGGACTGGACTCGCGTATTGTTCTCAGATGAGAGTGATTCAGTCTGTGATCGGACTGCAGACGCCAGCTCATCTGGTGTGACAAGCGACGTGGGCACTGTTCCTTTACCATGAAGGTTAATCGGTGCAGCACCACGTCCACCATTGTCAAGAGCCGTGTGAGAGCTGCGGTCACACGAGGGTCTCGCACAAGACGCCAAGGGCCAAGGCCAACGTCTGATTCAGAGCACCCAAAGGGTTAATAATATCATTCTTACAATATTGATTATGAAACTGCTATTAGAATACTACACTAGAATATACATAAAAATAACTAATACTTAATGTACAGTAGAAGATAACATGAGAATATACATAAATACTAACTAATACCCATCATACAGATGATGCAGAGAATTAGAATTTTATAAAATAGGGGTATTATTGCATATTGAATTTGTATACAAAAATTTGTTAAAAAAAACATTGAATTAACTTATAGCGGTATTCATTATACATTTGGATTAACTGAATGTTTTAGAAACAGTGCTATTATAGTAACTGCACCAGTTATACTTGTTGCAATACACCCTTTTGTTTACTGAAGAAATGAACTATTACATAAAAAATTAACTATTGTGTGGTACTGCTTATCGTCCAGAAAATATATATGAAAGGGTCCGAGATGCAGTATACGCCGGCATTATAATCAATAACTACACGGCCCTATATGTGGTTACAGTCGGGCTATACGTTGGCGAACGATAGATTGATGAAATTCTTTTACCTCATGTTTGCGTTTCCCATGGCGCTTTCAGTGATAAATTTCTTTTTTAGACGACATAATGCCATATCATCGAACACTCGCTATTCAGGGTTGCCTAGGCAGTGGGAATATTCAACGCCACATACGGCCAGCACGTTCTCCAGATTTAAATCCCACTGAAAATGTCTGGGCTGCTCTGGGAATGCGACTTGCTGATCGAAAATATCCTCCAACGAACAAGAACACTTTCAACCGTGCATTGACAGAGGAATCGGTTCAATTGCCTCAACAACTGCTGGATAATGTTGCTGGAACTATGACACGACGCGTGGAAAGTTGCATTGCACGTCATCGTGAACATATCCCGTACTGACACTTTTCTGAAAGGTGACTGCTGTCGTTTAAGTGCATTTTTCCATTTCTCCGTACACATCATCGAAAGAGCACTTTTTTACTTTTAGATGTTTAAAAACTTTCTGTATTTTTGCTGAGCAATAAATGCCCTTTATTCTAATTTTCGAGCAGCGTGGCAACAATAAAATGTTTTGCCTCGAGATATATAACGTATACAACACGTATAACATTTATTACGTATACTCTCTCTCTCTCTAAACAGATGCGTAAAATTATATAGCATATAACATCTGCCGATATGTATACTATTCATACAAAATATTACATTTTTCGAGGCGTATAACATTTATGCAATTTATAATTTACCTTCCTCAGATACCTAGTTGCTGGGTATATAATACTCCCTTTCCAGTTGACCTAATGAAGATAATATTGTTTTCAATATTTAATTCTATAATTGAGTACTTCTAACTAATTATCTTACTGAGTAATTCTCTAAAATTCGAGCAAAGTGTGCTTTAATTATCAGGAATTACGCGCATGAATGCGATATTGTATCCAGCCATGTTGTTGTGGTTTCATAGATAGCTTATCTGACAATCACCTTTCTCGAAAATTAATTTTCTTTCCCAATTAATTGTTGAAAACAAAATTAAGCATAATTTAGGGAAAACACATGCATAAACAAGCTCAAATAATTTTCCTTAAGTATTTTGTA